TGACTACAGAAGAGTGTGCATTGGGAAAAAAGATAAAAGTCCTCTGTAATCCCACTACTGAGAGAATCATTTCTCCAGTTACCCTGTCAACTCCCTCACTGCCCATGGCTTTACACACTCTTTTTCAAAATACCACTTGTAGATTTCTGATTAGGAGGATGCTCTGATGGAGCTTCTAAGTGTTCGCTGCTGTTCAGAGAGATTTACCTATTTTTGCAACACTCAGAATCGTTTTTAGTAGGTGAGAGAAAGAAATATGCACCTCGGTGAGGCTGTGCTGAGATACAGTAAGTCCTAACTTAATGTTGTCCATAGGCTCTGTGACTTTAAGCAAAATGATGTGTAAGGAAAGCAATTTTGTCATAGCCTAATTGATATAAACAAGAGTTAAGTTCTAATCTCATCAGTGTTATAAGGACATGATATTGAAGGAAATGACAGAATTCGAGGACCTGTGGTACTGTGTTCTCCTTCCCCATTTAAAAAGTACAGTGTGGACACATCCCTAAGTTTTGCTGCAGGTGTGTGAGAACAGGGTGTCAGAAGTTCCACTTGGCTTAACAGTCAGATTTATATATATATAAAAATAAAAAGCCAAAATACAGAAAACAGTTATGTATAGGCCAAAGGAAAGGGAGACAAACATCTTCTCATTACAACTGATCCAGATTTGATATTAGAAGATGCCAGGGAGCAAGGGCACAATTCTCAATTTACATAAATAATTTTACGTTTCTGATTATAAATTGAACACATGTTTATTATTGGAAATACATTTGAAAAGCAACAAAAATTGATCACTTTACCTTCAATCCGTTTCAATGTTTTGTGTGTTTCTTTTAAGTTTCTTAATGCATATTTTAAGTCCAATTAAAGCCTATGCTGTTTTTTTTTCACTTCATATTATAGCAAGGGCTTCTTCCCATGTCAACAGTTGTGTGTGAGGATTTCTTCAAGTTCCATAGTAATTGTACTGCCTTGAGAGATGAGGAAAGGGCAAACATCAAATATGTCTGTGAAGAGCAAATGCAATGATAAAGCAAAATAAAATTGTCTACTGTTCCCCCATAGCTGACAGCAGCAGTGTGTTTTCCTTCCTGGGTTACTAAGCTTTATCTTCCTAAGCAAGATAAAGTGGTTTTGGAATAGGTTAGTAAGATCCTCCTTCTCATACATGAGCCTCAGGTGTAAATAAGTCCATAGGAAACTGGCTCCTGCTCTGAGAGACCAAGGGGGACTTGCCCAGGAAGAGGTGATTTTTATGGCAGGTGTCAGAGAAACACTCTTGGCACCTTGATTGTGAGGTGAAATTGGGCCTTCTGTATGTGGCTTGTTCAGACAACATGAGGAGACAGACCATTTACATCTTCCTGGCATCTCTTTGACTAAGAGACAAAGGTTAAAGGTCCAGATCACTCAAATCACGTTTTCCAAGGCATTCCTATTGTTACATCATTCACCAGCCACCTCTATCCAGAAGGAAGATGTAGGACAGGACTCCTGCCACTAGCTGTTGTAGTTCCTTCCAGGGAATTTGAAAAAAGGGGCTGCTTCCTCAAGATACATTCCTTCCATCTGTTAGAAGCGTACGATGCACTGATTTTGTTACTAACCTTTGCTAAAAATTATCATAATTAAAATACAAGTAGGCAACATCCACATTGTGAAGATTATCCTCCCAACCCACTTCTGCCAGTAATACGGCTGTATGTCGTGCAGTACAGAGCTGTGTGTGCAGTGGCTCTGTTGAGAAGGTCAGGTGAGCATCCTGCACCAGTATTAATTATAACCTGAGGTTTTCAATACTAATGTCCCCTGTTCCCCCACCCCTTCAAAAGCTACTGCCTTTTATTTAGGCATTTGACAAATATTTATTGAGCATTTGAAATGAGCTAGACCCTGTGCTAGACCTGGGTCTAGCTCATTTCAAATGCTCAATAAATATTTGTCAAATGCCTAAATAAAGGGATGAATAAGCCGTGGCATTTACCTTCTGCAAGTATACCATCTACTGGTAATGGAGGTGGTGGTAAATAGTAGTCTACCCTTTATTTCACTGAGTTTCGGAGCATTTTTACCAGGACTAAGATTAGGGTGTGGTAAATGAGGAAGAGATGTATAAGTGTAAGGTATGATTCTGTCTTTATTTAAAATGTTGATATTCTGTTCATTATGGACTGTTTGCATTCATTTTGATTCTTTAAAATATTACATAAAATACTGTTTATCTTGATTACTGACGTTTTTTTGTAACCCTGTAAATTTTGCTTCTGAAATAAAGACCTTACTGGCCTCACCCTAGTTCTGGCCTAGAACACAAACCAAACCTTACTCTCTGGGAATTGAAGATCATCAGCTAGCACTGAACACAGGGGGTGTCTGAGCTGTATCACTCTATTCTTTGGAATTTGGGATATTAACTAGACTGGCCTTGCCACTAATTTGCTGTTACCCAAGGCAAGCGGCTTTTCTTCACTCAAGTTCAGTGTCTCATCTGGAAAAATGCTGATCTGGGAGAATGATCTTTTCTACAATGACAAAAATGTCTTCCTTTGACTAATATTTATGGAGTACCTACTATGTGCTGATATCATTATAAGTTCTGGAGCAACTGAGGTGAACAAGACAAGTTTGGGTGAGGACAAATAAAAGTAAATGAGATCATTTCTATGTATGCTACATGCAATATGAGAGTGTGTGTGTGAAAGATATTACAATAGAGTCAGGAAAGTTCTCTCAGGGGAAGTGATATTTGAGCTGAAACATCAATGATAAGTGGATACCACAGCCAGTAGCTCTCAGACTGGCAACCTTTTTTTTTTTTTTTTTGACAGCTAATCTTTAATGAGCCCTTCCTTTGTGCTTGTTATAACATGTATAACAACTATACATGTCTTGACTCATCTTTCTCAACAATGCTGTGAGATAAGGGCTCTTGTTACATTTCTTTTTTATTGATAAGGAGACTGGAGCATAAAGAGGTCAATTGATTTAGGAAGAGCATCAGCCAATGAGTGGTGGAAAAAGGACGAGCAGATAGGCACTGGGATTTCAAAGCTTGTGTTTAATAATTCAATAGTTACTTAATGAGCATCTACTATATTCCAGGCTCTGTACAATTAGATAAAGGCATATTTCATCCTCCTCCTCTTCCTCATCTACCAACACTTAATGAATACTAAATAGATTCCATGCATGGTACAAACTTTTCAAAAGTCTCTTGTGGGGTGATGGGACTGTTCTATAGATTGATTGCGGTGGTGGTGGTTACAGGTTTGTATGAATTTGTCAAAACTGGCAGAATTGTGCACTAAAAAGGATAAATTTTACTGTATGTGAATTATATCTTAATTAAAAAAAAACTTAACCCCCATTCCTCTATCTTCACCCCTGCCCCAGAGGGAAGAGCCTTTGGGGGCGGGGCAGGTGCAGGCACAGGACGGGAGTTGGCCCTAGTGGGCCTACCAAGAAGCAAGTAAAAGGAGAAAGTAGGCACGGCCGGGCGCTGGGGAGGGATGGAAAGGGCCGGTGGACTGCGGGGCGAAGCTGCGGAGGGCGGGGGGATGTCGGGAGAGAGGGAGGGACCTGCCGGCGGGAGAGCGAGAGGCACAGGGAAGGGAGGAGGGGGAGGCGTGCACTCCGGAGCCAGCCGGGGGCTGCGAGGCGGAGACAACCAGGCCACCGGCCGCCGAGGGTGCCCGCCGAGGCGACCCGCCCTCCTAGCCGCGGTGCGGACAGACAGACAGACCACGCTGCGTGCAGGAGGCGCCCGGCCATGTTCAGCCGGAGCTCCCGGAAAAGACTCTCCAGCCGCTCGGTGAGTGTCCCCCACCAGAGCGGGGCAGATCTCCGGGTGCCCCTGGGCCGCCGCGAGCGCCCCTGCCCCGTCTCCTTGTGCCCGGCGGCCGCGCACCTGTGGCCCCAGGTAAGCCGGCCCTGCAGGCGGGTGGGGGCATGTCCGGAGCTCACAAGAGGGCTCCAAGGCGCGGAAGGGGTTAACTCGGGGTCCCCGGTCTGGGAGAGAGAGAGACCAGGAACTGTGGCCCTCAATATCACAATTTGGGGGGGTGGGGAGCGGAAAGCTCCCTCCCTCGCCTCTTCCTTTAAGGCAGCTCTGAATCCCACCACTAAAGCTACAGCGTCCAGCTTCTTTCAACTCTAGCCACGGACTTGACTTTGGGGCTGTCTTTTGGGGTGTCCTGTGCTGTCCCCTTCCCGGGAGCACCAGCCTAGTCAAAGGCGAGCGCACTACGGTAGCTTCTCCTGGACTCTGGGCAACAGAAAGGTCTTGCTTTTGTTTCTTAGAAACCCGTGACCAAGGTGTCTCGGGGAGACAAAGCCCCAGCCATGGCCATTTCTTGGTGACTTGGTGTCTACACCAGAGGCAGCCCCCCTGGGTCCGCACACCCTTCCTCATGAAGGAGACCACCCTTGGGGTACCGACAGCGCCCTGCCCTAACGTCCCCCACCTCGGAGAGGAACGTTGCAGTCAAATTAGATGAGGTGCGGTGGGAAGAGTAGGGAGTCCAGCCTGGGACACAAGTGGGGCTTTGGAGGGAGTCTCTGTGGTGGAAACATGTTGTGTTGTCTTTTTGTTTTGAAGTTGACTGGACTGGGGCGAATAGAGAGAGGCCAGCCATGTAATGCCTGTGGTGACCAGTGCCCTGGGTTTGCCTTGCATAAATGGAGGTAGGATACCTTAAATCTGATTTCTAAAGATGCAGCACTTCAGGGAGGAATATATATATATATATATATCTGTGTGTATGTGAAAAAAAATATGCACACACATATATTTTTCTTCTCTTGTAAATCTTACTTGTAAGCCACATGGAAAGAATGCAAAGGCTGTTCCTTTAAGAGTGGAACTACATCTGCTGCAAATATTGAAGGTGGAAGTGGTGGCCAGACACTGGGGGATCCAGGAGAATGCTTTTCTAATGTGAGAGTTTGGGGCCACTTGTACCCACACATATCTAAGTCACTCAACCCGAAACAATTCAGCTTGGGCATGCAGTTGTTTCCAGGTGCCACAGTGCAGTGCTTGGAGGATTCCCTGGACTGGCTGGTGTTTTCCAATTGTGTTTTTAATTCAGCCCCTGTAACTCTGGGTCCCAACCACAAATCCACCACTGCCCGCCTGCACTGTGTCAACCCTCTTCGGTGGCCAGATGTTTCTTATTAATGTGCCGTGAATGTTGACTTCCAGGCAGCCCCAGCCTGGATTGGAATGATTATGTTTGGGAGACAAGGGATCTCGGTGCCTTCCCAGTGCATCTGGCTGGTGGGGCTCTGGTTGGGAAAAGTTGGGGTGCAGGCTTGCCGGCTCTCAGTTTGGCAATGTAAAGAGAAGAGGTGGATCCTTCTTAGCAACTTCATGAAAAGGAAAAAAAAAAAAAACAGTGACAGGAGAAAATCCTCTAACATCATAACATGTTCTTTCTTTGATTATTGCATCTTTCTCTCTCCCCATCACTTCTATGCCCCTTTGAAGAGGGCTGTTTCTGGATACTAGGGAGAAAAGCCTGCTTTGATCTTTTTTTCTCCCTTTGTGTGTGCTTCTCTACTTTCTCCCAGTTGGTAATGTGTGCTGGGCACCCAGTTATAAGGAAACTCCCAACTGGCTCCTTCAGAAAATAAATGCTTTTGTTCCTGCCTCAGATGGGTCTGGCAGCCTCTTTGCCTTTGTTTCAGGGCACCGAGCACAGCCCTCTGGCTCCCGAGCATTTAATAACTTCTCTGTCAGAGGCAAGGCCAAGCGACCTTATAAATATGTAATGGATGGACATCGGCATCCATCAGTTGTGCCAAGGTTGTAACCCAACTAGGTGTGTTCTGGGCTGGCCCCTTGTGTGTCCCAAATGTGCAAGTGAGCGATACATGGGAATCGGTGTAGAAGCCTTATTTTGTCAACCAAATCCAGGATACAGAACTACTGATCCAGTCCTTTTTGATCAATTTTGTGCTGGAATGGAGCTGGGAAAGGCAGAGTGATGAACAGTAGAGTGATTTTCAGTTTCTCTCCTATTCTGGAGCATTTGGGTTAACTTCTGAATAGATGCCTGTGGGATAGTGGTACAGTGTGAGGGTGTACCTGGCCCCCCTCCTTCGGTCTGTGTGGCCTCTGACCTCCAGTCACTTATTCTCTCTAATTCTCAGTTTTCCTAACCATTAAGTGGGAACAATAACTTACCTCACAGTGTGATTGTAGGGATTAAATGAGGTACTGAAAACACATTGTTTGCCTGGTACCAGGCACACCGTATTTATTAGCTACTTTTGTTAATTATTTTTATCTTCCTCTCAGTGGCTGCTCAGGACGAAACATAACCAGACTCTCTGAAGCTGCTGGGTGTCCAAATCACTTTAGACTTTCATGACCACAGCTTCTTGGAGAACCTTAAGCCATTTTAACCCAGCTGACTTTGTGATAGGAAAACAAGTGTTTTATTTTCAGCCCATTATGGACCCTTTCTTTTGGAAAGAGACCCTTTCATTAGATTGAGATAGGTTTTCATGCTGAAGCAGTTTCTTCACTAGCAATAGAAAGGCTTCACTTTGACTCCATGAATGGGGTTTTTATGGCATTTCTACCCATTGCTGGAAAGGAAGCAGCCCCTTGCTTTTGCCCCCTCCTTTTCCCCCTTGGGCATACTTTTGGGTGACCTTTTGGGAGAAGAGAGACAACTATTTGTGGGTAACAGCACAATATTCTTTTTGCAGTTTGAAACCCACAGTATGCTCACTTTCTGTTCCTCTGATGGAGAGACAGTTGTGCCTGAATAGGAGGAAAAGGCTGGCTTGACAGGCTCAAAGTTAGGCTTTGGTCTGAGCCATGGAGTGTGAACTTCCCGTACCCCAAAGTACCAAGGCATCTTAAATATTACCACTCCTCGGCCTCTCCGCTAGCCTTTCTGCTTCCACACTGGTCCCCTGTAGTCCATTGTCTATACAGCAAGCTCCTCAAAACAGAACAGAATTGTGTTAGTGCCTCCAGCACAAAGGCAGTTAAGTTCTAGGGAGGAAGAGTGTTGTAAACAAACTTTGCTTCCCCCTGGGTGTGGAGGAGAGAGCTAGGCCTTTGAAGTGCAGACAGAGCTGGGCTGGTGTCTTGCTCTGGCTTTGACAACTGTGTGACCTTGGACAAATGACTTCGGCTCCCTGAATTTCATTTTTCTCAGCTGTCAAACTGGGATCTCACTACTGAACAAATATTTGAGTGCTTGCTTTGTACCAGGTGCCCTGCTGGTGCTGGGGATACAGCAAAGAACAAAACAGGATTCCTGTCCTCATTCAACAAATAATTACATTTTAGATAAGGTGATCTGAAAGGACTCTCTGAGGAGGTGACATTTGAGCAGGGACCTAAATGAAGCCAGCGAGGAGGATCCTGTTGATCCCACCTGGGACAGGAACTACCAGCATCATCTCATGGAAGCATGTTAGAAATGCAAAATCTCAGGCCCTGCCCTAGACTTACTGAATCTGAGCCTAGGCTTTAACAAGACCCCCAGCTGATTTGTGTGTGCACGTTGAGGATGGAGAAGTGCTGACTTAAAACACCACGCACCGTGAATGCCAAATTGCTCTCCATACTTGGGGCTTCCTCTGTGTTAGCAAAGATGCTGAAGGTCCTGTGTTAAATTTTATGGAGATCTTCCTGAGTGATCATACACTATTTTTATTGTCATCCACACCTGTAGGTGGCAAATACGGGTTTTTTTTTAAGGATTTCTAAAAAAACCCCACAAGGATTTATGTGTCTTGAAGAGCAGAGGGCTCACGATTGTCAGACAAAGTGCTCTCCTCTACCTGAGTTAGGGCATCTGGGGAGCAGAGATGGATATTCCTCTCTACAGGTAAGCTGGCTCCTAGAAACAGCACCTCAAGGCAGCCTAAGGGAAACCTCACAGTATCCAGGCCACCGACGGAATATTCATTAAGAGGAAAATTAAGGCATCTTCATGGACTGCGGCCAGAACAAAATCATTAATAATCAAGCACTTAGTGTTCTCTACTATGAGACAGCATTCTGAGTGGGGGTTAATTGGGCTTGCTTCTTTGCTACCAGATTGAGCAGGGAGAGAAAAATAGCCATTTTTTTTCCCCAGTGAAGGTTTACCCTTTGAATGCCTTGGTACTGATGAATAAAAATAGTAATAATAATACCAAAACAACATCAGCAGTAATAACCATGAGTGCTTACTTTGTCCAAGAGAGCTGTACCTCCATGTTTTATATACATTTCTCTTTAATCCTCACCAAACCCTATGAGGCAGATGTGATTATTTTCCTGATGAGGAAACTGAGACTCAAAGCTACTGGGATTTGACTTGAAAACTCAGGCTCAATTTCTTGTGACTCACTGCCTTTATTTCTCTATTCTTAGGCATAGTTTACACACTTAGGTCATATCCACCCTGCGGGTGGGTTTTTTTTGGTTTGCACAGTGTGTTAAATAAAGGGGCTTTTTCTAACCTTAAAATCCAGGTTTCCAGCTCTCTTGGAAAATCCAAATATGTTATAACATGGGGCTTATTTGCCTCATGACAGTAACTGGCAGGACGTGAGTGCTGTCCCTGCAGAGGGATATGACCTCCGCTCTCCGTGGTCTCCAACATTCCAGTTGCATTCAAGAACTTCTTCAAATATTTACGTGACCTATCAGATTCCGGAAGTGATTAGAGCTTGCAAATCCTCGGTGAGCATTCTCAGCTCTCCAAATATAATTTAAAATATAGTAAGCTTTTTAAATATTAGCTACCATTTTTAAAGCATTGACAATGCCAGACAAGTGTTTTACATCCTTCCTGGCTTTTACTTACAACAGTCCTTGGAGATGGTTGCAATTATTTTTGTATCCATTTTAATAGATAAAGAAACTGAGTCTCAGAGAGGTTAAATGACTTGCCTGAGGTTCTATAGCTGGCTAGTCAATAGTATTTCTACTCTGTCTTGACTTCAGAATTCTCTGTTCTGGACCAGGACTTCGCATATGTGGCTCGTGTATGAATTACCAGGGGATCTGGTAATTCATACAGAAGATTCTGATTCAACAGGCTTAAGACAGGGGCCTAAGATTCTGCATTTCTAACAAGCTCCCAGATGATGTTGATGCTGCTGGTCCAGGGACCACACTTTGAATAACGGTGGTCTGTATAGTGTTGGGAAACTACCGCCTTCAGACCAAGTCTGACACTTCTCCTGTTTTCTATGGCTCACAAGCTAAGGGTGGTTTTTAAATTTTTGATGGGTGGGAAAAAAATCAAAAGAGTAATATTTTATAACGTATGAAAATTATATGGAATTCAAATTTCAGTGCCCATAAATAAAGTGTTGTTTCAACATAGTCACTGCTATTCGTTTACATATTGTCTGGTGGTTTTCCTGCTACAGCAATAGAGTCGAGTAGTCGCAACAGACTATATGGCCAACAAAGCCAAAAACATTTACTGTCTTACCCTTTAAAGAATATATTGGCCAACCCCTGGTCTCTACCACTATCTAGGAGAATATGCAAATAGATTCTCTTAGTTTTAGAAGAAAGGAATCTGAGAACCTTTTGGAATCAAGGCTAGAGGAAACAACCATTCCAACTTGGATGAGAACAGTGGTAAAATCAAAAGCAACCAAGGAATGAGGGAACGGACAGACCAAAGCCATTTCTAAAGTGCATGGGGAGATGAGGC